TGATTAAGTCTGTGTTCTTACTGGTGAGTTATTTGGAATACATGCTGGGGAAAGAGCTGGACAGTACGTCTACACGCCCAGGGGTAGGAGTAGAAAGATGGACCTATCTCGTCTGAGGACGCTAATCCCAGCACCAGGCAAAGTATCTGAAAAATGTGGTGAAACTCATGTGATCTGAAGGTATAAAATGTGCATTCTGTGATCTTTTTAAACTGCATTTGGTTCATGACCCTCAAATCTAGTATCAGAAAAACAGTTCCATATTTAACGTTTCCACTGATATCCCAAGAGAAAAGGGCACAGAAATATTCCCATCAAAGTATCAATTAAAAAGTGAGGTCTTACTTCTTTTACTGACAGGAGCAAAGATGAAAATTAATAATTATGTGCATTTATAAAATTATACAGGATCACATCATCTTTAGGATTGTACATGTTCTTTATTGCATCGAATTTTTTTTTTTTTTTAAATAGGTGAGCCACCAACGAGGGCGTAAAAATCTCTATTCCTTAAAAGGTGGTGTTGTTTCAGCAGATTTTTGTTTTTTGTGAGTTGTGTGTGCATGGGAGCTGACTTGCTCTTTCTGAGTAAGTCACAGACAGGCACACAAACCTTGGCCCATGTGTGGATGGAGGCTAATTTCTTTCCTTTTTTTTTTTTTTTTAAGATTTACTTATTGATGCATACAAGAACTGGGGTACAGGCCAGAGACGTGGTGGCGTGAAAGGATTCACCAGAGACAGAGTGGGGAGCAGAACAGGCAGACTGACTGAAATACACTGCTGAGGGGAGCAGCGGGCGAGACAGGAGAGGTCTGCTGTGCCATGTAGGTAGCTCCCTGGAGGGCCAGGGATGGAACTCGTGCTGCAGAGGCTGTGGATAGCCTCTGTGCTGTGCTGAACAGCACAGTGCTGTGCTGAACCCCTTGTGCCACCAGGGAGGCCCCAGAGGCTAACATCTAAGCAAGGAGGCACACAGAGCACCATCGTGAAATGGAGTGGCCCACGGGTGGAATCTCAGATTTTTAGGACAGTTGACGTCGATGTCAGACAAGCTAAATTAATAAAGCCCTGTGAATTGGTAGTTTTTCCTCCCAATTTATCAAAGTCATAGTATCAATGTATAAAGCTTGTACAGCTCTTTTATGGCACTTGGTCACTGCGTACCAGATTTAATTGTAAGTGGGAGAAGCCTTACCTGCATGACACACAGAGATCTCCCTCCTGGGGAACACTTCAGTTGGCTTGGAGTGACTGTTAATAAGTTCCTCTCAAATTTTGCTCGGTACTGAGTATACCCTCCCCCGAACCCCCAAAGGAACAGGTCAGATTCTTCACGTGGGCCACCAAGCACACATACAGAGACAAACAGTGGTGCAGATATGCTTAAGTGAAGGATAAACATAGAATAAAAAAAAAACAATGAATCTGAAAGAGTGGATTTTTCCGCCAGTATTTGAAATGTTTTCTCATAGTTTCTGTATTAGGATTGTGAAGGCATGATTGAAAATATGGACAGGGTCTGCCTCTTATTTCACATCTATTGTACTGAGTACAATAACTACACACTGAGTACACTCTCATCTAGTCTGCTCCTCCTCTGGGGCCTTGCTTGAGTGGTTTCTGTTACTTACAGTGCTCTTTTCCACTTTTGAACTCCAAGACCTTCCCATCCCAGAGAAGATGGTTTTGAGCCCAGCGAAAGAGTGTGCTGGGCTTGAGGTCAAGTGGAAACACTTAACTGTGGAGCGATCCAACTTGTTCGATTTTCCAACGTGCATTTCTACCTTCTCTATGACGCCCTCTCCCTGTATGTACAGCAGGGACATTGATATTTCCCTTGAACTGTGATATGGCGTTCAGGCAACCTCACCTCCTTAGAAAGCCCACAACCCGTCACCTGCCCCTTTGGGCATCTCTGACCAATCTCTGCACTGTGTCATTCACTCAGCAGACATTTATCAAAAACCTAATTGTATGGGGAATATAAAAATAAAATTTATTAATTAAAAAAAAATTAAAAAAAAATAGAAAGATTTCAACAGAAAAAAAAAAAACCTACTGTGTCTGATTTATATGCATTTTTTTCTTTTCCTTTATTTCTAACTAGTTCTTAAGCTTCTTGAGGGGAATACCTTTCTAACATCACCCCCACCCCAAACCCGAGTGTCTGGATGGGGCTTGATGCCAGGATGTCCCTGTTATTGTTTGGTATTTGGTAAAACTGGTCACTACATAATACAGGCAACATGTGTCCCACTGTTTTCACATGTGTCCACGCCCCTGAGTGGGGTCACGGACTAGACTGGGCTTTTATACATGTCTGGGGTCATCATGGTTTTCATCTTTGATATTGAGTTATACTTATAATAATAAAATAAAGTAATAGCTCACATTCCTAGGACTAGACACAAAGCAGAAGGTTTTGCTCTGCTCTCACCGAGTCCTGGGAGTCAATTCCTCCAGATCAAAACACGGTCTCCATCAGGAAAAGGTGAATGAACAAACGGGCTGGGGTTCTGGAGGGCTAGGGTTTTGGGAGGCTGGGGTTCTGGGGGCCTGGGGTTCTGAGGAGCTGGGGTTCTGGGGGGCCGGGGTTCTGGGAGGCCAGGGTTCTGGGGAGCCAGGGTTCTGGGGAGCTGGGGTTCTGGCCTTCACACAGATCCAAACAGGTTTTCAAAGCACGGTGGTTTCTACATAAAGATTCCCTCATATATACAATACCATGCCTAGATGAAATTCTAACATTTCAGGGGAAATGACACAATTGCAGAACGAGGCCGTGTGTACACACACCAGGCCATCCAAGCCTGAGCACACCCTTCAGGAATGCGCCTCTTTGCTCGCCCAGACGTTTCCAGGGTTATTGAAAACCGGGACGGCGGTTCTGGTACCGCTTTACTGCTCGGCGGTGCAGCTGCGCTGCGGCGAAGTTTCGCTTTAATTTGCTGCTCCTAATCGGTTGCAGGTTAAGAGACCCGAAAGCCAAGCTGGCCTGTGTCTCACGTGGGCAGGACTCGGTGCCTCTGCTCGAGGCCCACGAGACTACCTGCCGAGAGCAGCAGACAGGAGGGCGAGGGTTTGGCAAGACCCACTTGGAGGTCTCGCCCCACAAGGGAGGCTGAACTGCAGACGCAGCGCTGTGCCTTTCCCACGGAAGGCGCGATTTGGCGAGCTTGTGCTCTCCTGGCGGTCTGGCTCTTGCTTCCTTGGAGAAAGGAAACCGAGCACCAGCTAATAGGCTCCGAGGACGCCCCCCGAGGCACTGGCTCTGCAGAAATGGTCTCCCCAACAGCCGCTCGAGGCGCGCGCACCCCGGGGACGCCCGAAGCACCCGGCCCGCGCGGCCTTTTTTGGAGGCCCCATCACATCCAGCTCGCCGGGCGCTGCCCAGGCCGCCGGACTCCCTCAGGGCGAGGTGGCGGGCAACAGAGTCGCGCCTCAGCAGCGGGGGCCCAGCGTGGGCGCGCAGAGGTGGGGCGCGCCCCCCTCTCCAGCTGCGCATCGCGCCTCGGGCTGGCGCGGGCCAGGGGCCGGGGTGTGCTGGGTGTTCTTCAAGCATTTTTGCAGCAGTGACTGACGCGATGCGTGTCTGGTGCAGCCCAGGTCCAGTCTCTGCGGCCGCGCCCTGCCTTCCCGTGTCTTCTGGAACCACTCAGGGGCAGGTGTGCGAGCGGGCGTGGGGGGCTCGTTGCTCGGGTGGAGGAACGCGGTGGAGCCAGATGTGAGCGGGCCCCGACGTGCAGGCCGGCGACGCAGCACATGTGGGCGCGGGATGCGCCCGGGTGTGCCCAGGGCCTGCGCCCCGAGCGAGCCCACATCCAAGCCAAAGTGTCCGCCCCGGATGAGACGTCAAAACCCGCCTGTTATCATCTCTGATGTTCACGGAACATCTTTGAAGAAGAAAGAGTCCGTTGGGGGCTAATTGATGCCAGGCCCGAGAATCGGACCTGGATTTCCAGGGCTACCTGGTCAGAAATCTCCCAGGATTTAAAGCCAGCATCACCTGACCTTCCCGCCCTGTGTCCAGGCAGAACCGCGCGCCCAGCGCTGGAGGGGGCGTGATCCGGCTCCCGCAGCCCGAGCTTTCCCTAGGAGCCAGAGGAGCGTCCTAAGAGTTCATGCAAGAAAACCCACACTATTGTCCACCTCGAATAAATCGATGAGGCGCGCCCCGATAGCTCTCAGGCAACAGAAAGAGCCCATCAGAGAATCATCCAAGATCTGAGACACCCAAGACCTTCATTAGTCATCACGGAGATAAGGTGCAGAAAGTGCATCTCAGAAAGAAAACTCCAGAAATCTTTCTGCTTTCCGTCTGCAGAGCCACAAAACTGTCCCTGCAAGATTTTAAGTGAATTTCTAATTAATCACTGGGTTCTTAGTTTTTTATCAGCTGTAGGTTAGACATTAACAAGGAAAGATGAGAAGAAATTCCCTTGTTCGGAGCCTAAGGTCTAAGTCCTCCAAACAAGCCACTGGCCGCCCAGGCCGGACTCTGTATGGAGCGGCTGCAGCAAGGGGATGAACCACTGATGTGGGGATTATCGTGATTTTCACCAGAAGGGGGTCAAATAGGCACAAAACTCACAGACTGATGTAAAACTGGTCCAGTTGTACCTCGTTTTGTAAGAAAACCACCTTCTGGGGCATTTTCACATTTGTTTCGAGGATGAAACTAACACTTTACAACACACAGTACAACCTTCTGGTACCATCCCATGCCACAAATAAGTATGTAACAACCACCATGAAAAAGTATGGCCAAGCACATTCGCCTAGAAAAATTTGGTGTGTATGCTTGGACTGGAGGCAGGGGTAGGTAGCCCATCTGAGTCAGCCTTACCCCCAGAGCAGGGCTGCAGCAAAAGGGAGGCAGATTTTTCAAGCGTCTGGAGCTCACAGCTCCACGCAAGAGCCACCAGGCGACTCTCAGAGTGTTACTTCAGTTCTCATTTTCTGAAGGTGACAAAGATCTCCTCAGTGAATACCTCACCTACCTCGTAATACAAAGGAGGATTAACTCCTGTAGGTTTCTTTGCCCTTTTAGATGTAGCTCCAAGAAGTGCATTTGTTTCATTGATCTGGAAGAAAATGAAAATCATCGATCATGAAAATGACAGGCTGACTTAGAGAACAGTTCAATGCATGTAACTTTCAAGTACCCAACTGACTTTGAGGGGTTGGGGGACCTGGCATGGAGGAACTTGTCACTGGGTGAGTGAAATGCTTACATAAAATGTAGCGACAGTGCAAGTCTGTGCCACCTAATAGAGTTTCTCTCTGTTAACTCTGCCCTTAGGCCTAGGACGGGTAGCAACGTGTTCAGCCACGTCATCTTCGTAGCTAGTTATGGAAGTCCCTAAACATGAAACGGATTCACCTTTTCTTCCTATGAAACCTTTTATGAAGGTAGAGCCTCAGAAAGTTTTGCTAAATAAGCAACTCTTCAGAGGGCAACACTCAGGAACAACAACAACAAAATCACTCTTCTACATTAAATGATGCAATTTGCTCTCGCTAAGGGTTTGTGTGAAAGAACCTGCCAAAATATAGCCAAGAGCCCAAGGATGGGTATACGAAATGATTTTATTTTTATTTTATGATCTTAAACAAAAGGTCTGCAAGGGCCTTGGGGCAGGAGGTGACAGGTACCTGCTGGAGAATGTCTTGCCAGGAAACCATACTGAAGAGCTTGCGCTGCGGCATCTGCACCGCCTGGGCGAGGGCACCAATGAGTAGATCATCCTCGACTCGGTTTCCAACTACAAAAGCGATCGAGCCCTTCCAGTCGCTCTGTTACAAAAACAGAAGGAGTCAGAGTCTGAGAGCCCACGTTAGGTAACCATGTGGCAAAGGCTTCGCCTGAAAAACAGAGCAACTTTCCTGCAAACTTGAAAGACGCCTGGCCCAGCTGTGCACCTGTTTCAAGCAGCCGCAAGGCGGCAGTGTTGGGCCAAATTTCATGCAACTTGACTCAAAAGCCATTTTCTGGGCAAACCAGACCTTTTTATTTTAAGGGAGATGATTTCTTTTCTTTTCTTTTTTTTTTTTTTAAGAAAAAGAACATACTTTTACTCGAATGCTGTCCAAGAGTAATTTTGTGTTGGGGAGCAATAGTTCACTCATGTTCTACAAATATATATTAAGACATAACCTCGAAAACAGAAATCTTTGTCTTGTTCCCTTGTGCAGCCTAGCGCTTAGGAACATAGTAGGAGCTCAACGAATATGTGATGAATGTTGGGTCACAGTGAAGAGTTGCCAAATAGCTTTTAGAGGAGGTAGAGATTCAATCCCTGACGTTTACCTCAAGCACAGAACTAGAACGTCTTTTTGTTCTGATGGAGCTCAGTCATCTCACTGCTGATTCACAAATACTTTTTTTCCACTCCCAAGAGATAAGTTCCAATATTAAACTTGGACATAAAATTTTGCATCATATCATTTAAAGAAATAAGTCACTAAAGGCAACATTCTTGTTTCGTAACCCCTGCACTGCGGTCTCTAATAATTTCTGTGGGGAAGAAGCCATTCATTCTTCGTAGAGACTAAGAATGGAACTGACTGAATTACCCACTGTGTGATGCTGAGGAGAGCCAAACTCGTGGGGGCTAGAGCTAGCGCTCTTGAACGCTAACAATCTTACAGGGAGATGATGAAGCACATACAATGGATGACAGGAGAGGGGGTGATAATAAGGAAGGGAACTCTAGCCACGTGACCTCTGGAGGTCTTAGGGTTCCCGTTTGCAAAATAAAAGGGTTGGACAGGGCAATATAAGCCTCCCTCTTAGTTCCACTCTAAAACTGACTCGGGGGCCTCCCTGGTGGCGCAAGGGGTTAAGACACAACCTATGAAGCTATCAGCAGCCCCTGCAGCACGAGTTTGATCCCCTGCCAGGGAGCTACCCACATGGCTCAGCAGACCTCTCCTGACTCACCCGCTGCTCCCCTCAGCAGTGTACTTCGGTTAATCTGCCCGTTCTGCTCCCCACTCTGTCTCTGGTGAATCCTCTCACCCCTCACTCCTCAGGTCTGTACCCCAGTTCTTGAATGCATAAATAAATAAATCTTTAAAAAAAAACTGATTAAACATCCCTGTTGGTGGATTCCAAAACAGTGACTAAGAAGATCCGAAAAGGTTTATGCAAATTTGATGATATGCACAATTTTAAGGGTTCACTCTGGTTTTTCTTTGGTTCATTGGATTTGGCTGGGAGAAAAGATCTCAGTACAAGTTCTTCCTTGCCAACGGTGGTATCCTGAAACCTCTTACTTCTCCGGGGCAACTTACTAACACCTTTATAAAAGCGACTCCATTTTCAGTGTTAGCACCGAAACAAAAACCATACGTAAAAACAGACAAATGTGTGTTTTACCTATAAAGTGTCAGATGTGTGGGTGTGGCTCCCTGGATTTCACTCTGTTATACTCAGTTTAAAAAGTTAGCCCTTTTGGGGTGGCTAACGCACACAGGAAGACTGAGTACCTGTTTCTTTTTTAATATTCTCATTCTGAAAATACGGTAGGATATTTGTAAGCCTTTGTTTGACAAAGTTCCATTTTCACAAATGGACATTTCCCGCACGGGATGGCTTTCTTTTCTCCAATGGGCTCCTTCGGACAAAGCCCCTCGAGGAAGGAGATGGCTGAGCTGTCATTCTCAGATCAAGCACACGCAGATCCTGAACAGGCAACACCACCAAGTCCCACCGTTACTCTAGTTTCCAACACTGACGATCTTCACGACCACCTCTACCCACTATAAAGTCCCTTGCAATATCTGAGAGCTAGTGGTTCAAAGGAACAGCTGTCTCTGAGGGTATTTTTGGGGGAGGGAAAATTCAAAAAGAGGCTCTGCCGCCCACCATGGACCCATCAGTATCTGGTATCAAAGGCAGGTGTTGACCATTTCAGATCAGAAAAAAGAAGGGGGCAGGAGGAGGAAGGAACCAACAATTACTGAGAATCTGCCATGTGCCAGGCATATGTTATCTCATTGAATTCGTAAGGAACCTCTTGAAATAGGTGCACTAATATTTTATGGATGGATGAACGGAGGCCCAATAAAGTTAAATAGCTTGTTCAAGGTCATTTTGGCAGACCCTTGTGGAGACCACATACATGGCTTACAATTTAAGCATTTCAGAACGATCTGGAGAGCAAGTCTTTGGGGTCAGAATGGCCTCCCACCATCTTTAAACTGTTTGGAATCACTACTTCGCCACAGTAAATGTCACAGGAGGTGGTTTACACTGCATGTTACAGTATATAAAGCCTTAAAAATAGATTATGTATTAAATGCTTAAAAATTGTAAAAGGATTTTTTTTTTAATAAATGATAGTTTTATAAAGACTCAAAGTCACTAAGGACACTCCCCAAGGCTCTCCCTTCTCGGAGCCCAGTGCTCTTGTCACTTGGCTCCAAGGTGCATCTCGACACAAGCGTTACTGCCGTCCAAGGTGCGACCTGGAAACTTTTGGGTTCCCTGTAATCACCTTGGGACAATTCACGGGGGGCTGGACCAGGTGCAGATCTGTTCAGGCTCAGAGTCCTCTGCAAGTTCAACTAGGGAGCTCCCCATTGGAAGGGGGTCGGGGCTGAGACTCAGTTTCTCCTCTGCACCCTTCAGTCCATGAAACCTCTGGTCCTGAATCAAATTCGGCAAAACAGGACCCACCAAGGACACTGCCCGAGTCACGGATCAGTGTCTGATCACATCTCTAGGATCCAGGCAAGGGTAAGCTGGACTACCCACACGCTGTGAGGCAGCACAGGAATCCCAACACTGAAGCCAAGGCAGCCTGCAGCTCCCTGGCCGGCTGCACTAGGGGGCAGCGAGGTGCCAGGAAATGCAGCGTGTAGGTCACGGAGAGCCAGGAGAGCTAGGGGAGCCAGGAGAGCCAGGAGAGCCAGGCATTTCCCACCTCTGATTGGGAAGAACTGGGAAGCGAGCAGTGCTCTGCAAATGTGATTTCTGGATCTTTCTCTTAGCATTTCAGGATAACTGTAAAGTCCAAATTTCTGCTAATTGGCAGCAGTTCTAGAAATAGAAAAATCGCTTTGGAAAAAAACTGGACACAAATTACATTTGGCCAAATATTATTCAAAAAAATCCTCCACCCTCACGCCACCCCAGCATTAGTGAAATAGAGCCCTTAAGTTTGAGTTTGCGGGGCAGCAAGAGAAACTGGGTACATAAAACAGACGTTAATAGTGGGGGGACAGGCAAGCCCAGTGTAGGGGCTGATCCACCACACCCCCGGGAAGTGCTGGGGTGAGTTTACGACAGGCCAAGCAGTCTAGCTGGTATCATAAACCAAGAGAAAGAAAAGGTTGATCGTTTTAGACTTTCAGAAAACCTACACTGGAAGTATCAGCAGTGTAAACGGGAGGGTTTAGTCTGGCACCTGAAGCATCTGGGGAAGTAGAGTCAGCTCTGGGGCCCGGGGCCCACAGGGGCTTGGCTGTGGCGGAGCCGGGCCTGCAGCAGTTATTGATAAAGTCATTCAAGAGGCAGAATGAAGTCATGTATGGACACAATCCATTACCTTTGATTTACTTTACTAACCTCACCTAATTTGAAGCCTGGCGGGAGGGCGTCTTAACCCAAACACCCACTGGTCTCCTAAGGAAGAGAGGACTTGTGTAAAGGCGGGGCAGCTGGGGCTCACACACGCCTCCTGTCCCAGAAAACAGGGTGGATTTGTAACTTCTCCTTTGATCTGTTGCAAATTCTCTGTATTCTACTCAGATGTTCTTATATTTTAATATGATTACCAAAAAAAAAAAAAAACAAAAACAAGCAAACAAACAAAAAAAGCCCTTTTCAGAACAAGTGAGACGCAGCTTTTGGACAACAGGACTGAGTTTGCTCCCTTTTGCTGCCTTGGGGAGAGTGTCAGGGCTCTGTGGTCCTGCAAGAGCTGAGATGAGAACCCCAGTCCTGTCCCCAGATCTGGACACACTGGCACGAGCTCTGGGAACCGGCCAGAGCGCCACTGGAGAAGGAGCACAGGCCTCAGGGGCCCGGAGGCTGCACCATCCTGGCCAGGCCTCACCCAGACGTGGAAGGAACGTGAACTTCACATCTATACTCTGCTGAAAGGATCACCTTTTTGTTAAGTAGATTTACGGCCCCAGGCGCAGGGATTTGTGAATGTCTTCCTCATCTGGGCTTTTCCTTCAAAAGGAGTCTTGGAGCTCCATCAGCAAAGGAGTGTTAGCGTGGGCTGTGGGCCAGCAGAAGAAATATTTTCATTACACGGAGCTGGCTGCTATCATTGTGTTTGTTAAAAAAGGGGTTCTAATTATAAATACGTCAGAAATATAGGGTAACAAAGAGGTCCCCGTTATTTAATAAACAAGAAGGCTCCCAGGTTCCAGAAGAGGCAGTTATCTGGCCCCCGCTGCTGTCTCTGCAAGTTCTACTCCGGGGACAGGCAACTCCCCATTTATTGACCCATCACTGTCATGCTGTTAGGAGTACTGCTCGTCTGGGAGTTGGTTCATGGGGTTCTCACATTTTCTCAACTCGAATGTAAGTCCCTTGGTTCAGAATCACATTTTGTGCACTTTTGCAGCCCAGGATGGCAAACAGAGCAGGGCTCTCTCTGTAAATAACCACTGATCAGTATTTTATTTTACTTTTTTTTTAAGATAGTTTTATTTATACAAGAACTGGGGTACAGGCCAGATGTGTGGGAGGGTGAGAGGATTCACCAGAGACAGAGGTAAGGAGCAGAACAGGCAAAGTGATGAAACATACTGCCGAGGGGAGCAGCGGGCGAGAC